TAGGGGATCCAACACATTTTCTCACCTCCACAGGGTCCTACATCCACATGGTATAGACATATACTCAGGCACACATACATACACATAAATACAATAAAATAAAGATGGGAGTTGTATACCAAAATTACCCACTATTTAAAAAGGAGATATTCAGGCCTGGAGAGATAGTTCAGCAGTTAAGAGCATTGGATGTTCTTACAGAGGACCTGGGTTTGACTTCCAGTACCCACATAGTGGTTATCTGGCACTTTCTTCTGACCTCTGTGGGTACTGCATACACATGGTACACAGACAATGCAAAACACATAAAATAAAAGTTAAAGAAGTCTTTTTAAAAAGGAGATGTTCAAATTCAATTTTGAGTGCACTTTCATGTGTAGCCCAGAATGGCCTCAGATTCACAAGAATCCTCCTGCCTCAGCTTCCTAATTACTAAGCTTAAATTCATACTGAATTTAGCATGACATTACACTGTATTCAAACAAACCTTGTTGTTGTCTCGCCAAGTTCTTGCAGTGGCCCATATTTATCGATGTATTTCTCACATGTCCTTATGTGTGTCCTCATGTCACTGAGGCAAACCTACACAAAGGCAAATTCAGATAAAACTCCTGTTGGAAAGGGCCTTTATGTGACCTAGCTCCATAACTTTCAAATCAGGTTACCTTGGGGGAAGTAATTAATTGGATTTATTAATGAAACAGCACAAAGTACAGGCATTATCAAGAATAGTGCTGAGCCAGATGAACAAACCCTTAACCTCACCATTCAAGAGGCAGAGGCAGGCAGGTCTCTGAGTTTGAGGCCAGCCTGGACTACATATTGAATTCCAGGACAGCCAGAGATACACAAACACACCCTGTCTTGAAAAAACCAAGAAGTAGTAGTAGTAATAATATTAACAATAATAACAGTATACTTCTAATACTTCAGAAACATTGAATGTTGAGCCTTTATGTTTGTTACTTCTAAAAAGCATGTTGTTTTTTAAAAGGCAAAAAGATGAGTAGTAACAAAGGATTTTTTGCATTCTGTTATGCAAATAGGTTTTTTGTTTGTTTTTGGTTTTGGTTTTTGGTTTTTCGAGACAGGGTTTCTCTGTGTAGCTTTGGAGCCTTATACTGGCACTCGCTCTGGAGACTAGGCTGACCTGGAACTCACAGAGATCCCCCTGCCGCTGCCTCCCAGGTGCTGGGATTAAAGGCATGCACCACCAACGCCCAGCTATGCAAATAGGTTTTGAACAAAAGGAAAACTAGATGAAGAGGAAAGAGTAAAAATTAGAGAAGAAGAAAAACATTAGCAGGAGATGAAAAGAAATGGAGATGAAGACAATAGAATATACGTATTTTGCAAGTGTCCATCATAAAGTAAAGGAAACCTCACCTCATGTCACCAGTTCATGACATGACTAGCGGTGCTGTGAGTTCACAATTCACAGTATACTTCCTAGTGCCATCAGGGCCAACAAAGCACAGCTCTTGGAGTCCATCTTTATCTTATTCTGCACTGATAAACATGCAGAGGGCTATGTTGACAGTACAGTGCACACTCCACTCAGTTTCATCAGAAACAAAGAGAGGATCTCCTGGTGGAGGAAGCCTCCTACTGCTGTGGCTACATGGAAGCCTACAGCCAGCCCATGCTGCCTCATGCTGCCCAAACTTCTACTGGAAGCTCAGCTTCAAAAACTACCACGTGACAGAAAAAGCCTCAGTCGCTTAACAAAAAGCAAAAGTAAAGTTAGCAAGAACACAAAAACAGTGACAAAGTACCCATCAAAACCATAAAAAGGAGGACTGATCAAGGTGCTCATCTTAAAAAGACTAGTTTATAGCCAGACATGGTAGTGCATCTCTTCTTTTTTTGTTTTTTGTTTTTGACGGGGTTTCTCTGTATAACTCCGGCTGTCCTGGAACTAGCTCTGTATAACAGGCTGACCTCAAACTCAGAGATCCTCCTGCATCTGCCTCCTGAGTGCTGGGATTAAAGGTATAAAGTCAGAAGGGGTGTACTTGAGAAACAAAGGTGAGTAGATCTTTGAGTTCCAGGCCAGCTTGGGCTATACAGAGAGACCACATCTGTGAGGGGGTGGGAGGTGGGGAGAAGGAAGAGGAGTAGGAGGAAGGAAATATTTGTAATCTATGGCATCTACTTTAGGGTTTGCTGAGATAGCTCAGTGGCTGAAAGGCACCTGCTATTAACCTTGACAGCTGATTCCAAGCCCCCACAAAGGAGAAGAGAACTAATTCCTACAAGTTGTACTCTGGCTTCCACATGCAAGCTGTACTCATGTGTGCCTGTTCGTACACACACACATAAACACACACTTAACTAAATAAAAATTTAAGAATCCTATTTACATGGTTTCTCTTTACTTAGTTTAATCATGTATAAGTAAACACATATATATATATACATACATTCATACACTTCTGAGCCAGGCGTTATGGCAGACTCTTTAATCTCAGCACTTGAGAGGGAGAGGCAAGTGATGTCTCTCAACCTGATCCACACCGTGAATCCCAGGCCATATAGGCCTACAGAGTGAGACCCGCCTCAAAACAAATAAATAATAAAGCAACAATAAAAAAACAGAAGAAGGAAGGAAAAGAAAAAATTAGCCCTGCAGTAGGTGTGATGTGGTGCATACATAATCCTCAGGATTTGGGAGGAGGAGGATTTGAAGCAGAAGGATCACATGTTTCAGGCTAGAAAAAGCAAAGACTCTTTCAAAAAAAAAAAACATATTCTTTGTTCAAGAAAGATAAGCATTCCTTAGAAAAATCATCAACCCGGGGATTGTACATTGACAAATAAATAGATTGATACATTTATAATCTGGAGGTACACACAAAGTTATATAAGTACCATTGAAGAGCCTCTTATGTGTTCTAATGCTTCAGATAATCAAATAGAGGAAAAAATATGTGCAGACGGGTAGCTAAGATGTTTTGAGAGGTACTCCAAATACTAAGGCCAGGCTGCATGGAGAGAACTGGCCTGGACAGTGAGGTCCACAAAGCTGGAACTTGTAAAGGAACAGGAAGCATTCCTGGACAGAAGAACAGCCCAGAAAGCAAGAGAGGGACACAGAGTTTCTCAAACATTAACTAAAATCCTGACTGGTCAGATACCAGAGATGAGAATTAGGTGGGGACCCCACCCAGGACCTGAGAGATTGCTGTTATTTTGGATAGACAAAGATGGTAAGGTTGTCCACGTGTGTCCCCCATAAATAAATTAATAAAAATAAACACATAATTTGTTTATTTGTGCCAAATCTGAAACAGTAAGTGAGAAAATTAGTGTTGGATCTCGGGATGCTTGCTCCCAAAGGATACATCATAAATTCTTGTCAGGTGGCCATGATAGATAATTGGGCCTTACACTTAGAAATGTCTTTCACTAAGGCCTTTGTGGATCAGTACTGGGTACAAAGTTAGAGGAGGTACCAAGCTCCACATGTGTCCTTGCCTCAAGAGCCCTGGCAGTGGCTGACACGTGGAGTGTGACCATACAGGTCTCTAGGGAAAGATGGTAACAGGAAAGGACCCTAATAGGAGACAAGGGCCCTGGCAAGAGGGGTTCAGATAGCTAAAACAAATCAGTCACTCTTGGGAGCTGAGAAGCCTAGAGGCCATTTGGCATCTTCCTGTAAACTCAGAGGTAATTCCTTAAGGGCCAGGGGGAGGGGGACAATGTTCAGTTCGTTTCCAGGCAAGGTACTTTGACTGATGAGGATTGACTTTTTTTTTTTTTTTTTTTAAAGATGTAATTATTATGTATGTATACAGTATTCTGCCTGCATATATGCCTGCTAGCCAGAAGAGGGCACCAGATCCCATTGAAGATGGTTGTGAGCCATTATGTGGTTGCTGGGGAATTGAATTCAGGACCTCTAGAAGAGCAACCAATGCTTCTAACCTCTGAGCCATCTTTCTAGTCTTTTTGTTTCGTTTTGTTTTGTTTTGCTTTTTCCAGACAGGGTTCCTTTATGTAGCCTTGACTGTGCTGGAACTCGCTCTGTAGACCAGGTTGGCCTCTGCCTCCTGAGTGTTGGGATTAAAAAAGCATGCACCACCACGTCCTGACAAGGACTGACTTTTTGTTTTGGGTATTTGTTGTTGTTGTTCTGACATACTGTACTGTTATATATATAGTCCTGGCTTGACTGGAACTTGTTATGTAGACTGAGCTAGCCTTGAACATATAGCAGATCCTCTTGCTTTAGCCTCCAATGTGCTGAGATTAAAGGCATGAATTTTCATATGTTTTTTTAAGTTCCATGTTAAAAACATTTATTTTCGGGGCTGGAGAGATGGCTCAGAGGTTAAGAGTACTGACTGTTCTTTCAGAGGACCCAGGTTCAATTCCCAGCACCCATGTGGAGGCTTACAACTGTCTGTAACTCTAGTTCTAGAGGATCTGATACCTTCACCCCAATGCACATAAAATAAAGGTTAAATAAGTTTATTTAAAAAAACATTTATTTTCCAACTCTTGTTGGTGGTGAGAAAACAGATGAGTGAAGTAAAAGTTTCAAACAGAATGTTTAAAAGGCTGGTGGGGCAAGCCTGTGAAGCAAGCTGCTAGGAGAGTACAGAGTAAGTTCACAGCTAGCACAGGTAACTTAATGACTCTGCCTCAAAATCAAAAGTAAAAATGAGGGCTGGGGATATGGTTCGGTGGTACAACAGTCACCTTGCATGTAGAAAGCCTTGGCTTCAATCTATCTGAACTATATATACACTAATACTAAAGGAGCTAATGTGGTGGGCATGCATGTAATCCTTACACTTCCAGAGCAGAGGCAGGAGGATGGCAAGTTTAAGTCCACCCTGGGCTACAGAATGAGACCCTGTTCCCAAAGTGGGGGAGGTGGAGCAGGTGGAATGATAATTTCACTGGAAAACTTTGCTTGTAATCATGAACATAGGTTATATTACTCACCAGAGTCCCACACTCAGTACAGTTCTGGTATTCTGATTTCATTCTTTTGGCTATGTCAGTTGCTGGCACTCCCTCTGAAGGAAGGTATGCCCGGCAGTATGGACATGTCCATTTGTTATTCTTTATACTGGTCGCAATACAGGATCTGCAGAACCTACTCAGAGCAAACAGAGAATACATCAGGAGACAGGGCTCAGCACTTGAGTTCACACTGCTCTTCCAGAGGACCGATTTCCATTCCCAGCACTAAGGCTTCTGGCCTCCCAAGACACACCTGCACTCATATGGGCACATACCCATACATAGACACATATGCATAATTTAAAAACAAAATAGCTAGAAATGTTAGTCCATAGTTTTAATCCTAGCACCCAGGAAGCAGAGACAGGCAGATCTGGGAAATCAAGGTCAGCCTGGTCAACACAGCCGGTTCCAGACCAACCAGAGCCACACAATCAGACCCTGTCTCAAAAAAGAAGGTGGAGGTCTCTGGGCATTAAAGGTCCATTCAACTGCTCGAAGGTCAAAACGAAACAAAACAAAACAAACAAAAAACCCAGAATCTAAGTTCTACCATGGCTCTGCCTGGAGACCCAAAGCAGTGGGGGCTATCAGTCACCTCAGAGAGGCTGATTTTCTCAAGGCATGATAAAAAGATGGGAAGAATAATTACCCCCTTAATGAGGTAATGTGCTTTTCCTTCTCAGAAACCCCACCCTGGAAGTAGTCTCTTATGGAGTCCCCACTTTCCCGAGTCACTCAGAAAATGTAACGTTTTCTCTTTCTTCCTTCCAAATTCCAGGCATGCTTTCCTTGATAGTCTGGGCATTCTGTCTCTGCTGCCGTGTGTGACTGCTTGCCTAACATACTGGACCTGAACTCAGAAGGCATGATTTTTTCCCCTTGTCTAAATTCTTTTATGACCAAGACTAAGAACCTTAAGAAGAGCCCCAGTTTCCCCACTAACTCTTTACCTCCTATAATCTGCCTGTGATTACATGAATACATCACTAAGCCTGGCTGAAAGAATATTCTTGTTTTGTTTGTCTGTTTTTGAGAAAGGGTCACACTGTGTAGTCTTTGTTGGCTGGAATGTACTGTGTAGATGAGGCTGACCTCAAACTAACAGACATATCTGCCAGATCCTGCCTCCCAAGTGCTAGGATTAAAAGTGGGGGCCACCATGCACAACCTTTAAAGTGTATCCTTTTAAAAGTATTCATTACCAATGGCTCAAAAGTGCTTTTTGTTTGTTTGTTTGTTTTGTTTGAGACAGGGTCTCACTGTGTAGCCTTGGCTGTCCTGGAACTCACTGTGTAGACCAGGTTGGCCTTAAACCCACAGAGGCAGAGATTTGCCTGCCTCTGCCTTCTGAGTGCTGGGATTAAAGGGGTGAACCACCACTGCCTGGCTACAAATGGTCCAAATGTTCAACTAAAATAAAAATTTATTCCAAATACACCATCAGTGGCTCCAACCTGAATTATCTGCTCACATGACTTACATACCAGCAGATAAACCCTCATTCAATGGGAGTCGGATAAGAGACTGCAGAAGTACTTGGTTTAATAAGACCTGAAGTTTTAAGGTGGGCATGGTGGCACACATGGGAGATGGAGTCAGGAAAATTGGAAGTTCAAGGTCACCCCCAGCTTAATAGCCAATTTGAGTCTAGTCTAGCCTCAAACAAAACAAAACAAAACAAAAAACAAAACAAAAAAGGGGAAGGAGGTAGAGGAATGAAATAAAAACATGGGTATATCCTTTGTCTTATTAGAAAAAAATTAAATCAGCATGGTAATGTTCCCAGTACTTGCTGGGCGTTGGTGGTGCACACCTTTAATCCCAGCACTTGGGAGGAAGAGGCAGGTGGATCTCTGTGAGTTTGAGGCTAGCCTGGTCTCCAGAGATAGGCTCCAAAGCTACACAGAGAAACCCTGTCTTGAAAAACCAAAAAAAAAAAAAATACTCCCAGTACTTGGGAGACCGAGGCAGGGGATTTCAGTCAACCTGGGCTCCATATGAGAGTTCTAGGATAGCCTGAGTGAGCTACAAGACCCTTTCCAAAAACTAAACAGGAAAAGAGTGGCATGAGTCCAAGGGAATCTGGAGAACCACTGGGAATTCTTTCCTAATGGAAGCAAAACCAGAACCTACACCAGCTAGGGACCACTTGGCTGAGGTTCAGGAAGGCTGCTAGGAATCCTCGGGCATAAACTGAGCTGTGCAGTGAGAGATGAATAGACAAGGGCCAGCCTAAACTCAAGAGGAAGAAAACACAAGTTCAAGGCCATCCTAAGTGCTGGTCCAGAGAACCATGAAAAAATATATTACTTTTAGTTGATTGTTTGAACCACTTGCAATACGTACTTTTCAAGAATACACTTTCAGTCCACAAGCCTGCTCTTAAAACATAAAACCTCGGCCAAAGCTGAGAGTAGTAGAAAGATATTCAGAAATAAGCAGAAATGACATTTCATAGGTCATTCTAGGTCCTACAAAAAAATGAACCACTTCATATACTTTTAAGTTTAGAATAAATTTATTTCAAGACACTTTGATGCCTTCAGCTGGGTATGGGAGAACAAACCTGTAAACCTGACACCTAGGAAGCATAAGGAGGATCAGAAGTCTAATGTGTCCTAAGTCTAATGTGTTTCAGGACTAGATTGAGCCATATGAGACCCTGTCTCTAAAACCCTATACTGGGTTAGGAGTAGAGTTCAGCTGGTAGAGTGCTTGCCTTGCACAGATGCAGCCCCAAGTCCCATCCCCACCACTGTATAAAGGAGACATGGTTGTACATACTGGTAATCTCAGAAATCCCGAGGTGGAGGGAGGAGGAATTCAGGGTCATCTTAGCCACATTAGTGAATTTGATATACAAGACCATGACTCAAAAAGTCAAGACATACTGGTGCCTTATACCAGCAAATGGCAGTTGACTTTGGCAAAGGGACAAGACAGGCAAAATAAAAGCCATATTCTTTTTACAAGTGAAAGAGCTACTAGCTGTATGATCCCTAATTTGGATGCCAGAAGCAGATGGTGCTGATGGGGCTAGCCATAGGGGGACTGACCACAAAGGGCAGGAAGGGATTTCTCAGGGTAAGGGAACCAACTGTTCCAAATCTCCATGTGGTGTTGTTACAGGCCATGAACAATTGCTGCAGTTCATCAACCAGGGTACACTGTATGAGTCACACTGTATCACCTCAGTAAAGCTGAGAAGCAAAACAAAAACTTTCTGTGATGACGAGGCAATTACAGTAACACTGTGAGAAAGATCACAGGACCACTTCCAACACAGGCTCCCTCCTACACAACCCAGGCACAATTGCAGCTGCTCAGAACTCTGTCAGAAAGTTGACATAACAATCAGGAGAAATTGCCCAATAGAGACTTTTCTGGGAATTCCCAATGTTCCCATGAGTAAATCATACTGTGGTGTCCTGTAGCCAGCTGATGGGGTGTTTGTGCACAAAGCCCCGGATGCTGTGGAGCATGCCTATAATCCCAGCATTTGGAAGGTGACAGCAGGAGGGGCCACAGTTCAGGATCAACCCCAATGCCATAAACAGTTGACCAGTCTGGACTCTACATGACAGCTTGTCTCAAAAAGAGTGTGATTTTTTTTTTTTTTTTTTTTTTGCAATGAAGACCCCAAGGGAGAGGAATGGACACTAGGAAAGGAGGTATTTGATTGTTTAACCTGACCTACCAGGAGGCTATGAAGTGAGAAATCACAAAAGGAAGGATTAACACAAAGAGAATATGTAGTTTAAAGATTAAAGCTGAACATGGATGTAAATGGCACCCCATTTTGAAAACCTCACTCCAGCCCAACATGGTGGAACACTCCTTAATCCCAGTACCCAGGAGGCAGAGGCTGGAGAATCCTTGTGAGTTCAAGACCAGTCTTGTCTACAGGCCAGCCAAGACTACATAGTGAGACCCTGTGTCTCAAACAGCAGCAGCAAGAAAAACCAGTCTGGCTCCTTGTTTTCAAAAAACTCTGAATGCAGTCAGTGAAACACCCAGTAGCAAAAAGCATCTATCACCAGTTACCTCTACACGGGCAATGTGGCACATACACCCTTCCACATACACCCCACATAAAATAAATAAATGTAATTTCTAAATAAAAATATGATGGACAAAAGGAAACCTTCCAGATGCAATACCAGGGCTTTAAGATCAGATTTCCCACATGAATCCAGTGTCCTGGCTCTGCTGTGAGACTTGTCTTACTAGCCCAGTGCCACTCCAGTGCCATCTCCAGGAAGCGCTGAGCAGAGCCCTCTGAAGAGTGTGGCCCTCTGCTTCAGCACTCCTCTTGCCTCACTTGTAGCACAGCAGGAGAAAATCAATAAGGAACTCCATAATGACTGGACCAACCCTGAAACCAGCTGGAAACTTAATTACACCACTGCAATTTGTTATTTTAGAGCCCCATTTTATTTGTCTAAATTAAGTAGTTAGCCAAATCCCTGTAATAAAGAGGCCAGCAGAGTGCTGGAAGGAAACAGGAAAACAGCTAAGGACACTGGAGAGACTTATGTCCCAATCTCAGAGCAAAACTGAACAAGAAATGAATTGAAACAGGAAAGAGAAGCCCCGGGGACTTTCTGGGGGGAAGGGGAGGGTTCTGGAGGGGAGAGTTCTGGAGGGGGCTGTGGGCAGCACATGGTAGGGTCTAACCTTTTAACTGAGAAACCCAACACAAAGCTTCTCTATGGATGTGTGATACAATGCCAAATTCAAACCTTGAGATGGCTAGTTAAATGGCTAAGCATGGAAATGGAATATGGGGAGTTGTTAACCAGAGACAACAGTCACAGGCTAATATTCTGCTATAGGGTAACA